TTCAAATCCACCAGCCACTCCTCAGAAGGAAGGTTGGGCAATCTACTTCCGTAGTGATACTGCCTCGGAAACCCAAGGAGGGGTCACTATGTGTCGCGTCCGACTCAACGGCACATAACAACATATATATATTTAAGCTTTACTGGTTTTGTTTCTTTAGAGAACCCAGTCTAACACATATCCTTTCACATACTTATTCAATCTGTCTGCTGGACAAATAATCTGAGAAGCTGGACTATATGCAGAAGGCAGCGGCATCAGGATTGGTAGAAGACTCATTAACAGTGTGTGATAGCAGATGATGAAACCTTGCTTCCTGAAAATGAAGATGACTTGAAGCACTTACTACAGTCTTCAGTATGGATTACACCTTAACATAAAGAAAATGAAATTCTCACAACTGGACCAATAAGCAACAACACAATAAATGGAGAAGAGATTGAAGGTGATAGGGATTTCATTTTACTTGTATTTACAATCAACACCCAAAGAAGTGACAGTCAAGAAGTCAGATGTATTGCACCAGGTAAATCTGCTGTAAAAGACCTCTTAAAAGTGTTAATAAGCAAAGCTGTCACTTTGAAGATTAAAGTATGCCTAGCCCAAGCCATGGTATTTTCAGTCACCTCATATGCATCTGAAAGATGGACAGTGAATAAGGAAGACAGAAGATTTTATGCCTTTGAATTATGGTATTGGAGAAGAATACTGAAAATACTATGCACTTACAGAAGAAAGAACAAATCTGTCCTGGAAGAAGTACAGCCAGAATGTTCCTTGGAAGTGAGAATGGCCAGACTTCGTCTCACCTACTTTGGTCATGTGGTCAGAAGGGAACATTCCCTGGAGAAGGAGGTCATGATTGGTAAAGTAGAGGGTCGGCAAAAAAGGTGAAGAACCTCAACAAGATGGATTGACACAGTGGCTGCAAGTATAGCCAAGATTGAGAGAATGCCACACAACCAGCAGTGTCCTGTTCATAGGGTCACTATGAGTTGCAATCAACTTGGTGGCACCTAACGACAGTAACAGGTCTAGATGGGAACCCAGGCCTCTTGATTCCCTCACCTCATTGTTCTTTATACAATGCTATTTGGAATTAAGGAGCTCTGGAAACATAGTACCTAAGGTATTTGACTGCTAACCAGAAGGCTGGTGGTTCAAACCCACCAGCCACTCCTTAGAAATAAGACTGGACAATCTTCTTCTGTAGAGATACCACTTCAGAAACCCAAGGAGGAGTCACTATGAGTTGGAATCAACTTGACTGCAGTGAATTTGGTTGTTGTGGGTTTTTTTTTTTTTTTTTTTGGTAGAGTAAGGAGCTCTGATGGTATAGTGGTTAAGGCGTTTGGCTGCTAACAAAAAAAGGTCCATAGTTCAAACCCACTAGCTGCTCCATGAAGAAAGGTGGGGTGATCTGCTTCTGTAAAGATTTGCAGCCTTAGAAACCCAATGAGGGTCACTATGAGTTGGAATTGACTATTGCAGTGAGTTGTTTTTTGTTTTGTTTTTAATTTTCATTGTGATTTGGCTGAAAAGTTTGCAGAGCAAATTCATTTTCCATATAGCATTTTATAGACATTTTGTTTCATGACATTGACTGCAGTCCCCACAATGTAACAGCTCTCTTCTCACTTTCTCCCTGTAATTATCACTTTCCTGTGTCCTTTCCTATGCATTCCTATCCCCTGACCTGTCTTCCTGTACAAATATTGCCTTTCTGTTCTCCCATGATTGATCGTTGTAAGGAGTGTATATACCTGATGTAAGTGTTCACCCTGTAGCCTATTGTTGGCTGGAAGCCATAGGAATGAGTTCAGTTCCAGAGCTGAAGGGTAATATGATAGTTAAATTTGTGTATCAACTTAGCTGGGCCTGGTTGAGTGGCTGGGCAGCTGGATGTAGTATTCCCCATGACAAGACCGGTAATCAACTCCATGGTGGAATCTACTGTGAGCAGCTGAGTAGCTGCCTTAGGGATGTGGTCTCCTTCCTGTATATAAGGAAAAGCCTTGGGAACAGTCTCTAGCCTTTTGGCATGCTTGAACTCTGCATTAACCAAGTTGTTAACAGCCTGTCATGCTCTGCCAATCTTGGGACTTTCAGTGGACTTGAATTAGTGGCCTGCCATGTTGTTTGGTAACATTGGGACTGTGCCTTTTTACTTGTCAACCTTGACCTTCTCAGCTTCAGCAGCCAGCAGCCGTCTGAGTGAAGAAAAGCCTCCAGCTTCAGTGGGCCAGGAGCAGGAGGCAAAGCTGAAGCTAGAGCTTCAGGTCCCTAGAGCCTGGCACTTTGAACTCAGACTTAAAGCTTCTAAACTGTAAGAGGATAAACTTCTGTTTGTTAAAGCCATCCCATTTGTGGTATATTCCTGTCAGAGTGGCACTAGGGAACCAAAACATGTAACTAGGGGCCATAGTCTTGGGATCTCACCAGGCTCTATCAGACCAGTAAGCCTGGTCTTTTGTTCTACATTGTTCTCCTACTCTATCCAGGATGTCCTGCAATGATTCCTTCCTGAGGGATTAACAATAGTAGGCAGGCACCATCCGTTTTTTCTGGTCTTATGGTCATACAGGCTGAGGTTCATATGGTCCACTAGTGCCTTGGACTAATCGTTTCCATGTGTCTTTGGTCTTCTCCATTCTTCTTTGCTCCAGATGAGGAGAGACCAATTGTTGCATCTAGATGGCCACTTGCAAGCTTTCAAGACCCCAGTCTCTATGTACCAAAGTAGGATGTAGCACAACGTTTTTGTGTAGTATGTTATGCCAATTGAGCTAATGGTTTTTGTTTTTTACATTTGAAATTTAGCAACATTTAATAAAAGAAAATTGGGAGGCTTATAGTTTTGTTTTGTTTTTTTAAGGTGCAATGAAAGTGTTCCATGCTTTCTGTGTTGTCCTTTTGATATTTGGGAGCTTCTCTGAAGCAAAGTTTGATGATTTTGAGGATGAGGAAGACCTAGTAGAGTATGATGATAATGACTTTGCTGAATTTGAGGATGTCACGGAAGACTCTAGGACTCAGTCTCCTCAACGGGTGATAACGACTGAAGATGATGAAGAGGAGGCCACTGTGGAGTTGGAAGGCCAGGATGAAAACCAAGAGGAAGATTTTGAAGATGCAGATACCCAAGTGAGGCTTTCTTACTGATTTTCCTGGGGAATTAGAAAGATGGAAAGATTTGCAACTAACACTTTTCCCAGACATGAACAGTAAGACACTGAGGGCTAGGAGGCCTTTATTTCCTGAAAATTTTATTTTTGTTCAATAGGTGGAGCTCTTCAATGTTTTGTGGTGTGTTCCCATCTTTTACATTGATCACATAATGAACTGGATTTTTATTCTCTATGGAAACCCTGGGTTGGCAGGGGCTAGAGAAAAGATACTGTGCGTGGGTGGGAATTGTATGATTTAGAACCCCAGCCTCAGAAGCACAGGGCGTTATCATTTCTTTACAAACACGCACTAGCTCTGTGTTCTGCTCTTGCTGCGTGTGTGTTCTGTGTTCCTCTACAAATGTAGCCTGCAGACACGAGGCATAGCTGCTGGCAGAGCTGGAAACACACTGTGCTTCACTTTTGTAGGAGGGAGATACCGAAAGTGAGCCGTATGATGATGAAGAATTTGAAGGTTATGAAGACAAACCAGATACTTCTTCTAGCAAAAATAAAGACCCAATAACAATTGTTGATGTAGGTATACAGGATTCTTAATTCCAAACCAACCAACAAAATATTTTGCAGTCATTTGCCCCAGAAATAGAAATATACCTATTGATATATATGTATAATATATACTGGTGTTGATGAAATAATAGTTTGAGCTGGGAAAGAGCTTGACGTGGAGTCTTCTTGTAAACTCTATCCCTAGAGAAGCAACTCCTAGTTTTTACTCTAGCCCTCCTAGTTTTATTTTTCAAGGAATGAGTGAAAGGATATCCATTAGATATAGTTGGAGGAATTCAGAACCAAGTTAAACATAATGGGATGGGCTCTCCAGCTTTTCATCCCATTTGATTGTCCTTACATTTCCTTAAAGAATCTTATATAGCTAACCTAGAAAACCAAGATGGGCATATTACCTAAACTAGCCATGACTGTCTCCAGATTTTCTCATTCTCCATCCTTCAGCTGCGGCCAACTTCACATGGAATGATTGTGCTTCTTTAGGTTCCTGCTCACCTCCAGAACAGCTGGGAGAGTTACTACCTAGAAATCCTGATGGTGACTGGTCTGCTCGCCTACATCATGAATTATATCATTGGAAAGAATAAGAACAGTCGCCTTGCCCAGGCCTGGTTTAACACTCATAGAGAGCTTTTGGAGAGCAACTTTACCCTAGTAGGTGAGTTACCGACAAAACCAAACTCGCTCCCGTCAAGTTGATTCTGACTCACAGAGTGACCCCCTTTGGGTTTCCAAGGTGATAAATCTTTACAGAAGTAGATTGCCCAGTCTTCCTTCCATGGAGTGACTGGTGGGTTTGAACCGCCAACCTTCTGGTTAGCATCAAATGCCTTAGGTACTATGTCACCAGAGCTCTTTAGTAGGGGAGTTAGGCCAGTATAAGTCCAGTTGCCTGCTTGGAAGCAAGCTTTTCTTCCCTTGGTATAAGCATCTAACTGCTTTTGTGGATGACTGCAAAGCAAGTGCTCTTTTTTTTCTTTCCCAAGGATCCCATTTTTGTTAGATTTTATATACTGAACTAATTGTATTTATGAGGCAATTTCCTTATATTTCATTAACAATGTAACTGCAAAATAGCTTTTGATTAAAATGAGATGATCAATGTCATCCAAATAAGATAATAAAATCTGTCCAGAAGCAAGAAATTTTGACATTTTAGTTAGTTTCATAAATGTTTTCAATTCATCTTTTAGAAATATTGGAAATCCCTCTAAATTCCTTCATGTTCTGGGCACTTTAGTTTCAGAGCCACTTATGAGGTGTGTATTGAAGGCTTGGCGGGACTCCCAACGTTGTGTAGTGGGGGCAGTGAGGTGAATTCACTTCACATTCACTTCTATTTGGCTTTTTCATACTTCATTTCTCTTCTAGTAAACTCTTCTGCTCAGCTCTTTGGATACTTTGCATACATTGTTTCTTACTTAATCTTTGCAACAATACTGTCTGTTGGATATAGTTTCCATTCTCCTAAGGAGGAAACTAAGTTGTGGAAGCCTAAGGTCCTATAGATAGTAAATTGCAGCCATGGTATTAGACCCTAATCTGCCTGCTTCCAAAATCCATGCTATTTCCATGATACCATACCATGTCGGAGTACTTTTTGACCTGGAAATGAGAGAAAAATAAGTAGCCTTTGGCTACTTCCACCTTCCTCATGAGTTTTCATTTGGTACATCACTCTGCTTTACCTTGTTATGTTGAACACTCTGTCTTGTAAGCTTTATTAAATGAAAAGAGGAAATAATTGGAGTTTGAGCTTTTTCTAGATCTAAAATACAACTCTTGATACCACTGATAAGATCCACTTATCAGTGTGCTATTGGAGAAGTGGTTCAAATGTAGAAGATAACATTCTAACTTGGTTAAAATTAACTCATAGGAGATTCAGTGAGGTAGTATGGAATAGTTCATATTAATGGCATTCTAGTTCACTGCATTG